AACTGAGCGTGCTGAGGATGAGGTTGGAAATTTATGCGTGGCAGACTTTTTTCTTTTCGCTTTCCTAGCAAAAAAATAGAAAAGAAAAGCACATAAAAAGTGTCATGGAAATTTTGCGGCTAAGGGTTATTGAACTCTGGACGTTTGTCGAGCACATTTGGTTAGACAAATAAACGTGGGTTATGTGATAAAGAGAGATGCTTTATCGCCAGAATGACTGCATATCAAGCAATCTGTACTCCATATATACACGCTTAGGACCATATAGAATGCAAATCAGATTGTTGCATGCACCGCGGGAAAGATTATCTTACATTTAATGGGCCCACATTAAACGTGAACCTCTAGAACCAGAAGCTCATCGGCCATAAAAAATCATTTTACGAGCGCTAAATGCAGACGAAATTATGCGAAGTTCTCGGAACATTAAACAACAGCATACTGGTCAAGGAAATTAGAGGGATCGGAAAATGGGCGTAAGGACGCCCAGCTTAGGTGACCTTCTTCAAGGAAAGCGGAGGCTTTTCCTTTTCGTTGCGTTTCGTTCCGTCTCTTTTCATTTTCATTTTCGTTTCCATTTTTGTTTTTGTGTGCGTCAGGCGGCCACAGAACAAAGGAAAATCAGTAAAACGAGAGGCTGAGGAAATTCGCTTTCCAAGGGGAAAATTCTCCGCCACATTTGGTTTTTCCTGTGCCAAAACGAAGAAGCGAAGAAAAACCAGAGATACATATAGTCTGATCTCATGAACAAAAACATAATTGAGCCGAGAATAACAACAAGAGTGGGGGTACAGTTACAGTTTTGCGTAACGGGACAATTTCCCTGTTTTCCGTGGGTGGAAAGCTGAATAGCAAATTGAGTGGGTCAGCGAATTGAGAAGCATTTCAAGTTCAATCTGCGTCCATTTCCCACTTTTCGAACATTAAATTTGCACAAAAACACACACTTTTAACGGAATTTTCCTCGGGAAACGAGCTGCTTTAATTTTCTTTGCTGTTCATACAAGGCATTATTTAATTGCACATGGTACCGATCCGATATAATTAGCAACAAAAACAGTCACGAAAAGAAAACGCGTGGAAATTGTTTTGGCGAATTTTCCGTTTGGTACACAGCGCGACAGAATGTGCGCTTCGATGTGCGCTTTTCCACACGCTGCGCCGTACTCAGCTGGAAAAGCGTCTGGCAGAGCATTTTCTTTCGCTTGCACTTTTCCTCGCGTTTTTCATTGAAGCTTTGGCTGCGAAAAGCTTTTTGGTATTTTCAGAAAATGCCTCTCATTGCGGATTTATTCTAAGGCATGCACACGGAGGTTTACAGACTTGAATAAATTATATTTGTTAAATGTTTCATAAAAATTCCTTCATTGAGCTAGTATATTTTTTAAAAAATCTAAATTTTTTTCTTGGGTTTTTCACCCACATTTTGGTTGGAATCCATTTTCCCTCCCCAATTACTTTCGATTCTTTCACTTTCGTCGTTGATTTGCTCCATAAACCTGCTTTCGCGTGTGCTCGAGAATTTCCCACAACAATTACCATCGGACTTTTTCGCCATTGTTTGTTTGTTTGTTTGGTTGCCTTGTTGCTGTTGTTGCATGCCACATTTTCCCGGCTTCGCGTTTTCCGAGCAAGAGCTTTCGCTCAAGGGGCATTTTCCACGCTCTCCTGCCATTTCATTCTGCGGTTTTGATTTTACATATCTCTGGCACCTGTTCGCTTCTGCGCCCTATCGCAGTGTTTTATGAATGAAACAGCTTTTCTACTTTTCTCACTTTTCTCACAGCGAAAAGCTTCTCTCGGTGAATAAATTTACAAGGGAATTTTGCCAAAAAGTTCAGAGAACCACTAAAAACTATGTCTTGTTCTGGGGAAATTATCTAATTGCTTGGGAACGGTAGTGCGTACACTGAGAGCAATTACTTACAGTGAAAAGAAAACACAAAGAACACAAATTTGTTAATTACGTTACTCAATAAATAAAGTTTTAAAATAAATAATCTTGTTATTAAAGCGCATAAAGTTTTCATGACTTTCTCAACAATATTCCGCATTCAAAGGGCTTCCTAATTGAAATTCATTTTTCTGAAAAATGCTCTTGTCTGAAATCTCCTGGGTGGCATGAAGTCTAATGGCTGCCCCGTGCCGGATAATTAGCGGCTAGCCAAGGTCGCACAGCAACTCCGAAAATTAAATTCTCGTGGCGCGACCCTTAATTAAGTTTTCCAGCCATTAGAAAGGGAAAATAGGTGGAAATTCAATGGGGGAACTGGGCAAGGAAACTAGAGCGCAGCGCAGGCGTCATGAGCTTTTCAGTTGGCCAGCAAATAGAAAACTGTTGCATAGAAATGGGAGCTTGGCGGCAGGCTGGCTACCAAACTCCAGGTGAATCCATTCCCCCAGCGACCAAGTCAAATTGGACATGGGTTGGCCATTGGAAGGGTAATGGGAATGGGAGTTCCTTCTCCTCAGCTGAGCTGCTCCTAATGTCATAGCTGAAATTACGGTCATTACAAAAGCCTGTTTTTCGGGGGTGGAAAGTAATGGTGACTAATGTAATATTCACACGCGCACTGATTTCCCACACAAATAAGCGATCATTAGTGCTGGAAAGTCTGGATAATGTATGTAAACAAAAGGCAGTTCAATGGCCCCAAGTAAAAATAGAACCAGAAACCCGAAAAGCAATCAAAGAACAGAAAGCGAAAGGCCAGAACCCACGGAGCAGCTTCTCCACGAAATCGAAAGCCGACAACCACAAGTGGTTCATCTGGCTGCGGGCTGGATGGGGTCACCGATGTTGAATTGATTACGCCATCGCCAGTGACACACTTACACAAGTAGAAGTGGATGTGTGGAACTTGAGCTGGATCTGGAGCCCTAGCTGTAGCTGAAGCGGAACGGAGTGAAACGGAGCACTGGCAAATGAGGAGTCACCGTGGGAGTGCCCACTTATCAATCACGTTTTATGCGTTTACTGCACTTCGTATCCGAATCCAGTGCAGAGCTTTAAAACAATCGGCCGATTTTTGAGGGAAAACCTTGTGATATTATCGCTACTATCGCAAATGGGTGAAATCGCCTGATGTCTGCCACACTTGCCACCCTCTTCAGTGGATATCAGCTTTATTATTAGCGATAAGAAAGTGCCACATTTTCACGCAGTGGGGCACCCAAATTACGCTCACTGAGCGAAAAACTATGGTGATAAACTCGATCTTTGGAATACGACTTGTTTCTAAAGCAAATGCTGTACATTGATGGTTTGAAAATTATTGTACTTGCAATAGCTTTAGTAGTTAAAATAGCGTCTGGCTTTTCTTATCAAATAATTAGCTTAAAACGATCATACACAAACGTGTTCAACCTTTGTTGATAAGAAAATAGAGAGACTTGGTAAAGTACTGTGGATGTGGATGAACTTTATAAATTCGATCAGTTCCATATACAAATTTGAATTTATAATTTTAATTTTTATAAATCTTAGTGTAAGCTATCCTTAAGTTGGGACAAAATCCTTAAGTAACACAAAATATACAAAAACTGACAAGTTTTGAACTTGAAATTACCACCTAAAGTACACAAATATATTTCTAATTGTAATCTCTGTGTATATTACACATCGAAGCAACTTTATAAACACAAATAGTGCTATGCGATATCAAAACACTATAGTTCTGTGAAATGTAGTGCCTTTAACTATGCTATCTAGATGGCATTAATTTTTGATTATAGGAAGTGCATAGCCCAGTGCATATTTCATATCATAGCGCATTTAAAAACATATTGCAAACATATAGCAATACTACTAATAGTAAGTACTGTGAAAGCCCCCGTGCCAACTGAGTAAACATTATAGTGCTCGAATCGTTTGATAGACCTCGATTACGTCTAAAAGTAATGCCCAAATTGCGGCTGGAGTGTCAAACTCACGCCGTTCGCTGAATCACCTTGACTTCACAGATAAGGCCACTTGTAGTGATATCGGAACGGTGCTAGTCCGATCCGAAATCCGTGAATATATATATGTGTACTCACCGTGAAGACACTCTTGCTTTTGTGGGCCCGATTCCGTATTACCAATCCCGCCAGCGGCTTCTTCACATGGATCTTGGGCATCTTGGCGGCGCTGGCAACGTTACGGCTACGTGGCTTTAGCTTTACCGTTAGCTGGCGAGTAGCTGGGGGTGCGCGGTGTGTGTTTGTTTTGGCAATGGAAACGCCGGAGAGCTGCTGCTTCTTTTTGTTCAGTGTTTTTCGCTGTACTGCCTAACAATTTGGCTGCATCGCCCGTGTTTTGCTGGTGTTTACTACACTGTCCACTTTACTACACGGCGGCACTTAATTGAGGCGCACAAGCACGGCACACACTCGATTTGCTCGTTCTACTCGCGCTTAAATCACAATTATTAGTTTACCATTAAAGGGACGCCTGGGCAACAAGAACAACAACAACTGCGGCGGCGATTTAGGCGGCTCGCATGCCTATGGGCTAACTGCCATCGACGACCTCATGTGGCTGGATCTGGATCACCGGGATCTCTGGGCAGTTTCTGGCAGGGATTTGACTCAGCGGAGCTATTTTCACGAAAATTTAATGCGTTCGTTGCAAGCACGGGCCGAGAACAAGGTCGATTTGGGGCTAAAAAACGCCAAAAGCGGGCGCTGTCAACATGTGTTCTAGGGTTGCCGCAGCGCGCGCATTTCGTGTGCTAAAGAGTGGACTCTCTTGAATTTCCAATTCCGATAAATTATTTATTATAGGAGTCTAAATTTCCTAGAGTTTTTATTTATACGTTATATTTAAATGAAAATCACAACTTGGGGAAATATAACAGGAAAGCTAAATATTATAGTTCATAAAAAAGGTTATAGAACTTATAATAAGCAATTATCAATAAATTTTAACTACTTAGATAACTTCAGAATAAATACTTTTAAATAATACTTTTAAATAAAATAAAAAGGAGTGAATATATTTGGTATATGTTTTAGAACCGCATAGAACATCCATCCTACTATGGTCACACTTTCGCGAATCAGCTGAAGAAATATTTAAAAGTTTCAAATAATAAAAACAAAGCCCTCTAAAGAATGCCAATATTTTGACCCCCGTTGGCCAATTACTTCACTGCAGATTTCCGGTTGCGGCCATGGTTCGAGTTCTGTTCCTCCACCCGGATTTGGGCATCGGAGGAGCCGAGCGACTGGTGGTGGATGCAGCTCTGGCTCTCAAGGAGCGAGGACACCAAGTCAGCTTCCTAACGAATCACCACGACAGCACGCACTGCTTCAAGGAGACGGCTGACGGCACTTTTCCGGTTCACGTTGTGGGGGACTGGTTGCCACGCGGGCTCTTTGGAAGATTCTACGCCATCTGTGCGTATCTGCGCATGCTCTATGCGGCGATCTATGCCAGCTTCTTCATGCCCCAGCGGGAGAAGGTGGATGTGGTGGTGTGCGATCTAATCTCTGTATGCATTCCGGTACTCCGCTTCGCTCCTCATCGTCCGAAAGTTCTATTCTACTGCCACTTCCCGGATCAGCTCCTCAGCAGCCGTGAAGGTCTGCTGAAGTGGCTGTACCGTCTGCCCATCAACTGGCTGGAGGAGCACACCATCGGTCTGGCAGATAAGGTGCTGGTCAATTCCAAGTTTACGCTGCGAGTCTTCCAGGACACCTTCCGCCGGCTGAGCACGGTGCCGGATGTGCTGTATCCTTCACTGCACACCCAGTATTTTGACCAGATGCAGAAAAAGCTGGAGCAGCGGTCTGCTTTATTTGACGAGCCCGTGCATCCGCGAGTGCCACTCAACGCCTTCATCTATCTGGACATCAATCGGTACGAGCGAAAGAAGAACCACGCACTTGGCTTACATTCCCTGCGTCTCCTGGGCGACATGCTGCCCGCCAATGACTTCAAACGCTGTCGACTGATCATCGCGGGGGGCTATGACACTCGATGCATGGAAAATGTCGAGCACTTTGCGGAGCTGGAGCAGCTCACGGAGGAGCTTAAGCTTCAGGATCACGTTGTGTTGCTGCGCTCGCCTACCGACGAGGAGAAATGTCGCCTGCTCTTTGCCGCCCACTGTCTGCTGTATACACCCGAAAACGAGCACTTTGGCATTGTGCCGCTGGAGGGCATGTACTGCTCCAAGCCAGTGGTGGCATTGAACAGCGGTGGACCCACTGAAACGGTGGTGAACACTTCAACGGGCTTTCTGTGCGAAAAAACCGAAAAGAGCTTTGGAGGAGCAATGCACCAGCTTTTCCGAGACGAGCAGCTGCGTGTGAAAATGGGTGACCAGGGTCACAAGCGGGTGCAGCAGAAGTTCTCCTTCCAAGCATTCGCAGATCGGCTGAACGGCATCATTAGAGATCTTGTTCCTATTTCCAAGGAGTCGAGTCCTAAGAAAACTGAATAAAATTCCAGTTAAAAAGGCAGATCTTATGTTTTCTTTTATGTAACTATTTTTAGCTACATATGCACGCGAAATTAGTCATCAATAATGGATATATCTTTTAAGCAAATGACTCATCAATTGGTTAGATTGCATAGTAGAGCTCGGTGAAAGAAAAGTTTCCATTTGAATAGTTTTAAAACCCAAAAAAACCTATTGCTGCCTTGTATATATAGTTTATTATTAAATTCCATTCTTCAGGGCGTATAATATTAGGTTGTGGGACTGGTGTGATTCGGATTGGACTGAGATCGGGCTGGCTACTGCTCGCGCATGTAGAGATACAGATAGCCGAGGTCCTTGGGCGGGTTCTGTGACTTGGCCACCTTGCTGTCGTTGAAAATCACCCATTCACCCTTCTTGCGAATGTGACAGACGTAGTGCCCCACCTGGGCGGAGGTGCCCATGTGAGAGATGAATGCCATCAGACGGTACTTGCCACCTCCATCGCGGTAGTCGGTCTTATTGGGCGCCGAGGAAGCCGCTGCAGCTGATGAATTCGAAGCGGGGGCAACTTCCTCAACACCAATAGAATCGGCATGCGAGAAGATCCAGTCGGTGGCGCGCTCCACGTTGCCATCGGTCGCCTTCAGCGCAGCCACCGCCTGTCGTTCGTCAAAGCCCATGCTCATGAGCATGGCCAGGCTCTCGGGATTGGCCACAAACTGGTTGGCTGCGCTGTCTCCAATGCTGTTGCTCGGCACCACAAATGGCTCCGAGATATCCTCGTCGGCGATGTGCTCCATCAACCAGTTGGAGGCTGCCTCCAATCCGCTGTTTTTCGTGTGGTAGCAGGCACGCTTGCAGGCCTCCGGCGGAAAGCCCATGGTCAGCAACTCGGACATGACCGCCTCGTCAAATGCAAACTTCACCTCCTCTGCGGCGGGCTCAGGAAGAGCCTCCTCACCAGGCTGCAGGCCACCAGCGGAGCGCCAGTTGCTTAGATCCAGTTCATCGGGCATGTCTACGGAAACGTCCAGTTTCTTGGGAACCCAGTCGTCGCCCAGCGTGAACTTTCCCACGTGAATCATCAGGCAGTCGGGCATGGTGGCCAATCGCGTGATTTTCCTGGCATTCGTCTTGCCATCAATGGCAGTGGAGTAGAATTGTTCGATCAGCTCCGGGCCGAAGAAGCGTTCCAGGCAGGCCTGTAGAGGAACCTTGTGCCTCACGATATCGCGATCCACAAGCCGTTGTCCGGTCTCTCGGGCAGCCTTCTCACGCTCCAGGAACTCCCGAACCTCATCCAGATTGGTGGCCTTATCCAACGGAATAGGCAGACGGAAACTGTATTCCTCGCGAGTCTTGTACTTCACCTTGCGGCTAGCGAGACACTCAACGCGATCCTCCAGCAGGAACTTTAGAGCATCTGCGGGATTTGTTTGGTTCCGTGAATTCCTGTCCAGCAGGGTGAGCAAATGCAAATAGAAATCGTTGGCATCCTGCTGTTGTTTGGTGCTGAAATCAGGGTGGTTCTTGCCCACAATGTTCTTAAACATGGCCGGCGAAATTCCGGTGCTGTGATCGGTGTCCAGAGTGTTCTCGGCGATACTGCTGTACTTTCCCGAATGCAGGCCAGTTCCTAGCTTGGCCATTTGAATGTTGAAATCGTTGGCCGGGTCGCTGGGGAACTCCCTGAAATAGTGTTCCGCTCCGGTGCCCACGAATCGCTGCTGGAAGTCTGGGATGACGAAGAGCACCTGCATCACGCTGTTGATGTAGCAGGAGTTGCCCAGGTTGCGCATGCCAGTGTATCCAGGACCGGCAAGAGGCTGCAGCTCACTTTCGCTCTCTGTAAGCGCCGACCACTCGCCGATCCGCTGGTTAATATCCAATTCAAGCTCCACCATGGACTTCTCGCTCTTCTTCATCGCCGCCATGTTGATGCCAAAGTGGGAGAGGTGGCGCTCTAGGTGGGGATCAAGTACCATGTCGTCCTCCGGGTAGGAGAAAACATCCGACTTGCCATCAGCGGTGATAGTGCCCAGTTTCACTGCCAGCGGGAATCCCGTTACTCTGTAGTGCTCCACGGCGTGATCGTTGCCTCCACTGCCGTCAAAGAACTTGCGACCGCACATGATCGAACCATCGGTCAGATTAAGCCAGAGGTTGTTGGTCAAATCACACTTCTCGCACTGCCAGCCGGATGGGGGAATCTTCTTGCCATTGTCCAGCTGCTGCAGGTTCTCTGCGTATTTCGAAGCCTGACGCACTTCACCATCCCAAGTGCCTGTAAAATGATTGATTTTAGGTTAACTTTGTCATCCCAAGACATCCTGCAACTAACCCATCAGCGTGGCCTTCTCCAGCTTGGCAATTGCCGAGTCGGCGGCCAGGATCGCCTCCACCGCCTGGGTGACACGCATGGGCAGCTCCGGATCCGGATAGGGTAGCTTCTTATCCAGCTGGGGCGCCACCACGATGCTGTACGTGTCCTTGATCTCGTACTTCTTGGCCATGTCCGACTCGTTGTAGCCACCCTCGACGCCGATGGCCAGGCGAGTGATCTTCCGTTCCGGCCCAGCCTCCGACTCCGGATCGCATTCAGCCTCCGTATCGGTGCCCTCCTTTGGCGTCTTCACCCGCTGGATGTGCAGGAAGACTCGGTTGCCGGTCTTGTCGGCGTACTCACGCACGTACGCCTCGCCGAAACCCAAAAAGCTGTGCAGGCACACGTACAAACCGGTGGGCGTCTCGGGATTGTCGTAGGAATAGACGCACTCGTCCTTGTAGATCGGAGGACTTCCCGCGCCGGATGCGCAGGGCACGTTCACCTTGGATAAATGCTTGCGTAGTTCCTCCATGACTCTATCTGGTATCCTGGGAACAGCTCTTTTCTCATAAACTTTACGGACCGAATGTAAAATAGTATAGTTGATTTTTTTGCACTTGCTGCTTAGAGATGAACAGGGGAAAATGCATCGATACCGGCGAGCACGGCAATGCGAATATCGATGGTTTGAGATTGTGTTTTGCTGGTTAGAATAAAGTTTTAATAATTCTTACCCCTATTTACATTCCTTATAACGGCTATTAAGCGGTATTTCCGTATTTTACCGCCCAATAAGCACAATTAGTTCAATTTGGTGGCTGCAGGCTATCGTGTGTATTTAATACTGTCATCTCTAGCCAAAGCCAACAACAAATTCGCGAGTCACCAAGGGAACCGAACTTGTTCCGTAAAGTGCAAACAATACAGGGAAAGTGTGGCAACGCCGATTGTGATTTATAATATGTAATTTTCTTGAGAGCAATAAAAATTGTAACCATTCAATTTCAATTAACTACTTAAATTAAAGTTTCCAACCATTTTTACCAATTTGGTAACTAGTTTTGATCTGTGAGCGGTCACACTGTTCAGCGACATGCCAACTCGATTTATACAGAGTTGCCATATAGTCACAAAAATCTTTCGCATAAAGAAGTAAAACGTAAGAATTTTCATATGCGTTTTTCGTCAGGAAATACGCATTAAAATAATGTAAAAAGTGGTAAATATGTTGGCGCAAACAGTGCGGCATCCAAACGTATAGAAATTCAGCTCGTTCGAACGGTTTTCCGTGTTGTTTTGCCTCTCGCATAAATTTGTTGCGCGCCATTTTGTTTTTGGAAAGCAAAAGAAAAAGAAGAAATACAACAGCAAAAACCTACCACAAAAAGTCAAAGTTTGTTAAAGCGATAAAAAGAAAGAAGAAAAGGCATTTTCTGAGGGGTGGGGGAAAAAGCAAGTGAAAAACATGTGGCGCTCCGCTAGTTTGTGCATCAGCTTTGTGCCCCTAAAAGACATACGAAAATAACGCGCGACATAAATAAATGCGACTGAAACACAGAAAACTGAAAATATCGATACGATGAATAAACGAAGAAGCAGCGATTTGTACGTCGTCGGCGGTCGTCTGTGTGGGTGAGAGAGTGAGGGAGATGGGCATGGGGATGGCGATTAAGTGCGAAAGAGAGGGCGGAGCGCGGGGCGCGTATATAATTACGTCATAAGAATTAAAGAAAATTCAAGGTCTACAGCGCTGCGGCTATACAAAAAGCTATACGATTTCATTACGTTCTCGGTTTTATCAAAAATAAAACTTTGGCCAACGCGCAACAACAACAACAAGTATGGCTGTGGCGTGCCTGTGTGTGTGTTTCATTTTCGCGACTGTATAATTACATACACACGCAGTGCCGCCGTTGTTGTTGTTGTTTCTGTTTTCTTTTTCATTGTAAGCGAGAAGAGCGCGCAGCTGTGAAAGGCAAAAGAGACACAGAGAGAGAGAGGAAGAGAGCGAATTTGTTGTTGAGCAATTTGTGTAACCATCGATAATGTTTGATTTATTTAAACTCCATTTTTATTACCCCTTTTTGCAGTGACTCGCGATGCGTGCGGCATAGAAGTCGACACCCCCCCCAAAAACCGAAATCCCGACCCCCCACACGCACACACACATGCACAGACAGTGATTGTTCATAAAATTTAATTGATTAAAAAGGCAGAGTGAAAAACAAAAGCGAACAAAACACCGGAAAGCAAGAAAAATTAATAAAAATCAATAGAGCGGCGAGCGGGAGGCGATAAAAAGTGTTATCAGTGCGAATTAATTGGCTACGAAGGGAAGGAGGAGGAGGAGAGGAGCGGCAGCAGGAGGAGGAGGAGGAGGTTCCTCCGGAGATTGAGGTTTAGGGAGCTCCAAATCCGCATCCCGGACGCGGATCCGGACCCCTCGCCATCATGTCCGTGCAGCAGTTCTGCCTGCGGTGGAACAATCACCAGCCGAACTTCATCTCCGTGTGCTCCTCGCTGCTGCACAATGGCACCCTGGTGGACGTCACCCTGGCAGCCGAGGGTCGCCAGCTACAGGCCCACAAAATTGTGCTGTCCGCCTGTAGTTCCTACTTTCAGGTAAGTTGGTGATCACTTCAGTGCATATTCCTTGAGAGCTAAACTAAGTATCAAATGTGTTCGATAGGCTTTGTTCACCACAAATCCGT